CGCGGCGGCGACGCGCCCGAGCGAGCGGTTCTCGTACAAACACCTACAAGCATGCTCGCGGCGGCGACGCGCCCGAGCGAGCGGTTCTCGTACAAACACCTACAAGCATGCTCGCGGCGGCGACGCGCCCGAGCGAGCGGTTCTCGTACAAACACCTACAAGCCGATCACACCAGCCTCCACTAACGAGCATCTACCTTGTGAGCCCCGCCCCCACCGGCAGAGTTGATGGGTACACGTGAACACTTCATTAAATAAGTTAAAAGTTTCTCAAATGTAATACTCAGCGAAATGCTTGCTTTGCGAGTGAAATCAGTAAATAGCGACGATCGGATTAGGTCGTGTCAGCCGGTGTAAACGGCAGGTAGGTAATGTGACGATCAACTCTAAGTAAATATGCTAATATGCATCGCTACGATGGCTACGACTATCTGCTACAAATCAGCTGCTAATAGGATAAATGCATATGCATAAAAAACCAAGCGAAAATATGTATGCAAGACGACAACTACTTTTTAGCATGCTACGAATAAGTGCACTGTGACTGCAGCACTAAGTCATAAAACAACATAACGATCGAGCAAAATACTAATACCTACATTGGCAATTTTACATCGCAACTGCTCATCTAAACTCAATTATAAAACCTCAAGCGGACATGCACACACAGCTCTGCATTAGCACGTTTGTATTGCCATGCACCTACCTTTTCTCGCCTGTCAATGCCGGCCACTTGCCCGCTGGCTATCAACAACTTGTTCGGGTGGAGTGCTATGCTGGAAAAATAAACGTAAATTTATCCATTATTGCAAGATTGACATTTTACGTATTATACTAATTATTAAATTAGTAAATTCATATTTACATTTTTTTCCATCCATAAATTTATATCGACGATCAACACTAACAACAAATGGCTGGGCTTTCTATGTAATTCAAACCTAGTAGTACTTTGCACAAAGGCTCTAGGTTCTACCATCCAATTAAAAGTAATAGCCATGTTGAATTCAATGAACCGCCTATCACGTGAAGTGCCCACCCATGGACTTATGGTGTACGATCTGTCAAATTAGTCAAACACATGTGTTTGTGCGAAATAACCAATATAAATTGCACAAACAACATATACTCTCTCAAAACAACATGTATATTTCCACAAAAACATATATATATACCTGTTTGCAAATAAACATTATGAAAA